GCCGGAGCGTGTGGGTCCCGGCCAGGCTGAGCCGTGAGCCGGCCCTCGAGGCGGGGCCGCCCGAGCGCGGCGGGCACGAATGTGTGCCCGGAGGCAGCGGGAGCGCAGCCTGCGAGGGAGGGAAGCGCGGGCTCGGGCCTGATGGTAGCCGCGCCGCAGGGCCTGGCTGCCGAGCCAAGGGCCTGATGTTGGAGTTGTGGGGCAGGGCTGTGTGCTTCACTTAGCAAACAGGCACCAGGTATCAAGCCCCGAGGGACTGGGGCAGGGCGAGGAACTGGTACTATTTCTTTTTCCTTCAGGCCCCATCATCTTTATCTGTCCTGAAGTGGTGAATAAAAACATTTATGGTCCGTGTCTTTCCAGAATCCTCCAGATATTTACTGAACTCCTACCGTGCTATACGCCAGATATTCTAGGGGCTGGAGGTACAATGAAGAATGCCACATGGATGGCCCCTGTCATAGAAGGTGATACATGCCACACGGATTTGATTACCTCCCCAAGGGGTGAGGGATGAACAGCTATCAGAAGACCTCTAGCAATCTCCTCCAGCCTCCTGGCGCTATACCCAGAAATTTTATCAATCTGATGTTATGTCATATATGAGGTTTTACAGTTTAAGGAAAATACCGTGCTTCATGTACAAATATTCCCATCAGGACAAGTCTCCTAATTTGCTCCCCTGTTTCCCTTACTAGAAAGTGCATTTTCTAAGCCTCCACTGTAAACCTCTTCCTCCTGTGCCCCAGTTACAGTGCTAAGTGCTAAGTGATCATTACAGAATGAATGGTATGCAAAACCAGTTAACCTAGAGTGCTATGTTGCCATGGTTCAAACGAGAGGGATTCGCAGTACAGCTCAGAAAAGAATTGAGTTGAGCAGCTAATGAGGTGGGCAGACAAGAAATTCTTCATGGGAGGAATCATCCAACTTCGTGAGTGAGTGGAGGTACCTAGCGCTGTGGCAGAGTGTGTGGTAGAGAATAGATCCATAATAATTGTTGGATGAAGGAATGAAGGAATAGCAGAAAGCAGAAACTCCACTTCCTGTGGAGTTTCATTGCTCAGTGAAGAGGAAATGCTACTGGACCTACTGGATTTAAAGTGCTGAGGGGAAATATAGGTGGATGTAGCCAGGCGGAGGTTCAGTGGGGTGTTAACCTTGGAGAAAAGTCAGGACTGGAGGGATTTAGTAAATTATCCAAATACAAAAGAGTATTGAAGGCTTAATACTGAACAAGATCATCAAAGAAAAGAGCATATAGAGAAAAAAACTATAAAGAAAAAAATACTAAGGAATAACTCACAGTTGCCTTTTTTCTGAGTTCCTTCTCTTTCCTGTTGATCTTTCTCTTAGTCCATCTTTAGATTTGTCCTTCCTACTGGCTTTTTTTCCAGCAAGATGTTGTCCCTTGTCCTTTATCCTGGTCCAGCTTCCTTCATTGCACAGATGTCCTGTGTTAGTCAGTTGTGGCCCCTCCTACACATATATGGACTCTGCCTCTGTCTACCTCTGCCGTGGAGCTTGAGCCTTTTGATTGAACAGAAATAAAGGACAAGTTCCAAAGAGCTGAAACAGTTTAAGTCTTGCCTTTCTGGATATTTACTGCAGCTTTCTAAAAACTCCCAAGCTTCTGTTTCTTTCTCACAGATTAGATAAGGGTGGTAAGATAACCACGGAAAAGATTAGAGGTATTGAGAGACTTGCAAGGTAATAAAGCCTAAAGCATACTTTTCTAACTTGCTGAAGACTCTGCTGAAGTCAGAAACCTCTGTTCAACTCAAGATGTCTCATATAGCAGCTACAAGAGCTTGGCAAGTTTCCTCACCTTGAAATACATTTCAAGCCTAAGCACATCAATGCCTACCTAGCAGGATTGTTAAAAAGTGTGTGTGTATTTGTGTGTGTGTGTGTGTGTGTGTGTGTGTGTGTATTCTGCTTCTATTTTATATGAAAACATAAAGATTTCATAACAAAAAAGAAAATAATAATAGTTAATACATTGTAGGTCATAATCTTAAAAGTAGTTAGTTACGCAAAGTACAAGACAGAAAAGACTGCCTTACAAACAGAAAAAGATAACAGCACAAATCCTTTTCAGTGAACTAAGAGAAACTAGTAGTATAAAAGAATCAAATTAGTGTATGTTAAGATATTTGTGAAACAACAGAATAGATAATTTGGGGAATATTTTAACTTCTTTTAGTCTTTCTTCTGTTTTGCTCTTTACTTCCAGGATGTGGGGAAAAGAGAACTGTTACAAAGCTTTTTAATGAGGCAATGCAAGGAGTGTTTAGCATAAATGGTAGTTTGGCTACTATGTGGCTTTCGTTTTTATTAGTATATGTTTGCAGTACATAGTATATTCCTTGTTGGGAGTTGGTATGCATACATAGTATGTCTTAGCCCTCTAAGCCAGGGTGGTGGCATGCCTGTAATCCCAACACTTGGGAAGAGGCGGGAGGATCATTGCGAGTTCAAGGCCAGCCTGGGCTACAAAGTGAGTTCAAGACCAGCCTGAACTACATAGTGAGACCCTGTCTGAGAAAGACAAAAAAAACCACGACAATACATCTTAATTCTTTTTTTATCCCTTTTTCCCCCTCCTCAGAGATAGGTCTTTATGTTGTGTCTTTTTGTTTGTTTCGTTGTTTGTTTTTTGTTTTTTGAGATATGGTCTTGCTAAGTATTTCAGCTGGCCTTCGCTTTGTTACCCAAGCTGGCTTCAAACTCACTTCAGTCCTCCTGCCTTAGCCTCCTGAGTTCTGAGATTACAGGCATACCCTTCATGTGGTTTCTAATCCAGGCCTTATACCTTATACCTTTACAAGCTTTCAGGCAATGAAATAGATTTTTTTTAAATAAACACTGAAAAAAGGGAAATAACTTGCTTGAATTTAGAAAATCAGAAAAGCCACCAGCTATAGTTAGTATCTCTAAGCTCCTAGTTCTTCACTTGGGTTTTAATCTTAATTGAGTTGATGAAATTATGTCAGCATTTTTAATAGTATTTTTTCACTTAACAAAAGCAGAATTTTTTAGGTGGTCAGAATGTTTTTTTGTAAAAACATTTAGAAATGTATAAAAACATTAAACACTGTTCTTAGTTTCATCATCCAAACATAACCAATGTTAACGCTTGTATATTTGTAAACTTTTACCTGTAAATGCACGTATGCACCCAGGCATGCCTATGTGCCCTCTACTACATGTGGTTTTGCAAAAATGAACTCTTGCAATATATATGGTGTTGTAGTTTGGGGTTTTGCAAGGAGAAACAATACAGGACACTTAATTATAAGATTGTTTTACTGGAAGAAAGATAGCCTCTTTAATGAATAGTGCTAGAAAAACTGGCTTTTCACATGCTGAAGACTAAAACTAGAGCCATGTCTATCACCATGCACCAAACTCAAGTCAAAATGGATTGCAGATCTAAATATTAAAACAGAAACACTAAATCTACTGGAAGAGACTGTAGGTAAAAATCTTGAAGACATAGGGGTAGGCAGAGAGTTCATGAACAAAAACCAAACTGCATGGGAAATACTTAAAAGAATCAACAACTGGGATCTCATCTTATTGAAAAGATTTTGCACATCAAAAGAAATCACCAGCAGAGTAAAAAGAAAACCACAGTTGGGAAAAACTTTTAGCCAACTGCCCCTCAAAGGACTTCTATCTAAAACATACAAAATTTTAAAAAATCAGACCCCCAAAATTCAAAAACCAAATCCAAAAATAGGCATCTGAGATAAATACACACTTCTCAGATGAAGAAATACAAATGGCTAATAAATACATGAAATAATATTCAACATCATTAGTTATTTGAGAAATGCAAATTAAAACAACACTGAGATTCTATCTCACCCCAGAAAGAATGGCTATCATCAAGAAATCAACCAGTAACAAATGCTGGAGAGGTTGTGGGGAAAAAAGGAACCCTACTCCACTGCTGGTGTGAGTGTAGATTGGTGAAACCACTGTGGAAATCAGTGTGGAGATTCCTCACAAAACTAGGATTAGAAGTCCCACTTAACCCAGCTATTCCCCTTCAGAGTGTTTTCCCAGAAGAATTAAAAACATCATACCACAGGGATATATGTGCACCCATGTTTATAGTAGCACAATTTGCCATAGCTAACTCTTGGAAACAACCCAAACACCCATCAACTGAGGAATGGATAAAAAAAGATTTGGTACTTTTATACAATGGAGTATTACTCAGCTATAAAAAAAGATAAACTTGAGACTTTTGTAGGTAAATGGATGCAACTAGAGACCATACTCATAAGTGAAATAAATCAGACCCAGATGTGTAAACATC